ATCAGAATCTTTATGACCCTTTGCTAGAGCATCTAATGTACTAAGGGCTTCATGCTACAGAGTACACACCCACGAACTTTCCAGAGACCTGGCCCCCCAACAGGGCCAAAGCAAGCTAAGTACTGTAAACGTTAACGACTACAACTACATATATAGTTGAAGGTTCAACGGTAATCCAGACCCTGGACGGCAGCCGGAAGTCTGGGAACGAGCCTCCAACTTTCTGACGACGCCGATCACAAACTCGATCTGCTTCGTGCGCTCCTGCCCGATTCTGAGGGCTTGCGCACCCTACATGCCCTGCACCCGTTAAGGGTTTTGCGCTCGAGATTCCAGGTGTAGGGTTTGGGCGTGAGCATTTCGATCACGGCGCTTGTAGCGGTACGGAAGGAGATCTGGACTGCCACTTGCCTGCACCTGTAGGCCCAAAAACCTTAACCGTACAGTACCTTATTGTAATTCTCTATTATTGTACCCGATTATAGTACCTTTGTAGTATTCTACTGTAGTATACTAATAAATACTAAAGGGAGCTCCAGAAAGTTGGAATATGGATTAATGGCAGGATCCCCCCATAATTTACATTAAAGGGGTTACGATAATGATATTCCAACTTTCTGGCTTCTACTATATTAAATATTGTCCCCCTGAAACACCATGCCCAAGGCCGCAAGCCCTGAGCCCTAAGCGCATGGAGCATCGTGCGGCCCAAGGATTCCAGTCGTCTTGCAGCTCAGGAGTAGAGTTAGGCTCTAAGGACTCATATTTTAAGCCTTTTGGGCCCAAAGACCATACCATATTAGGCTTTTCGGCTATTTTGAGCCTTAGGATTAGAGCTCAGAGTGTAGGCTAAGGTTGAAGGATGCTTAAAGATGCTGAGGGTTGTTTAGGCTTTTGGGTCGAAGGTTTACAGGATTCGGCTTTACCAAAACTATGGTTCGGGATCTTGGGGTCTAGGGTCTATCAAAAAGCACGCTCATATATAAACTCTAGAGTCCCTAGAGCCACCAGAAAACCCTAAACCCCAAACTCTTAAAACCCTAAACCCCTAAACCCTAAACTCCTAAAAACTAAAACCCCTAAACCCTACGCCCCTAAAAACTAAACCCCTAAACCCTACACCCCTAAAAACTAAACCCCTAAACCCTACACCCCTAAAAACTAAACCCCTAAACCCTACACCCCTAAAAACTGAACCCCTAAACCCTAAACCCCTAAAAGCTAAAACCCTAAACCCTAAACCCCTAAAAACTCTAAAACCCTAGACCTTCCTAGGCCGCCGGGCCCGGCCCGATAGCCGAGAAAGCCCCCTACTATTTGCTTAAGAACCCCCCAAAAAATAAAAAAAAATATTCCTTATGGGGGTAATATAGGGATTATTATTTTTATTTTTTGGGGGTTCTTAAGCAAATAGTAGCTCCTCTGTGGCTTCGAAGGTCTTCCAGTGGTCGATGGCCTCCCTGAGCATGCCCGCCTCTTAGGCGACAAAGGGCTCAGGGTTTAGGGTTTAAGGGCTTTGGGTTTAAGGGTTTAGGGTGTAAGGGTTAAGGGTTAAGGGTTTAAGGTTTAGGGTTTAAGGGTTTAGGGCTGCATACGCTACAAGTCTGGAGGTCTCGGGGTTTCGAGTTTAGGGCTCGGGGTTCAGGGTTTCGGGGTGACTATAGACGTTGGCTCGAGTAAATGGACCAGGAGCTTATTTTGAGCAGCGTACAGGGTTCAAGCCCGTAGGGGTCATGTAATGCTTTGGCTTCAGTCGGCTGAGCTCCTCTAGTTCCCTCGTCATAGCCTGCTGGATCTTGATCCAGGGTTTCAATCACAAAAATGCTCTTGTCAGAAACGTTCAACAAGGATCCTTCTAGTTGAAGGGTGCAAATAGGTGTACCGTCAAGTTTCAGAAACAGCCCTGTGCACCAAACCCTACACTCTGCCCCAGACCGTAATCCAGGGAACCTGCCTAACAACCCAGCGACCCCTTGCAGCCTGCACAACGTGGTACTATACCATGCTGTGTGCTGCTGCACTCTCACGCAACTTGTGCACAACACGCTCACCATGCTACACAACCCCATGTTAGACCAACACCAAGTACACTACATACTACGCTTCATACTGCACTATGATGTATCTCTATACTATAACCGTACGATAGCAATATTATGATACTACTATAAGAAATACGATGAAAAAAAACTATTCTCACATAAGGTGTCGCGCTATACAATACTCCCCCTCTTAGCCATGGTAGGTGGAGCCCAGGGCCCTTCAGCCTCTCTCTTGAAGGCCGCGGGCTTCTCGAGATCAATCACTGCCGTTTCCGTTTAGGGTTTAGGGTTTAGGGTTTAGGGTTTAGGGTTTAGGGTTTAGGGTTTAGGGACGGCCATGTCTGCAAGCACTTTGCTAACGGCAAGCATTCCGGCAAACTCCGCCGCTCGGGCAAACCTCCGGGCTCAGGGTCTGGGGCTTAAGGGTTAGTGTTAGTCAATACTGTAGTATTGAAATACAAGAATACTCCTACTACAACAATACGACCATAGTCGAATCATAGTACGATAATGCTATAATAAAACTTCCAAAACCCTAAAACCCTAGGATTGATGATAGAAATCCTGCATTACCCGAAGGACCCTAGACTATGGGAATTATGGTAGATTCCTTCTTCTGGGTAATGCAGGATTTATGTCATCAACCGTCGCCGTAGGGTTGAGGGTTCTTGTTAGTCCCAAAAAAATACTATAATAATGCAATACGATAATAGTCGTATTACAATAACATGATCATAGTGCTATACTATAATGCTACAGAGAAACCCCAAGCTCTGAAACCCTCGGGTTAAGGCTTTGTTATTAGTTCCAAGAGGCTCGGCCAGGTCTACGTCTTCTTTGTTTTGCAGCTTTCGCTCGAGAGCGAAGAGCCGCGGAAAGCCCGTGAAGACCTGGAGCACAAGCTTTGAGGCTTACTACTAAATCCTAGGGCTCCTTTAAAGGGATCTATAGGGGTACCTTTAAGGGAGTTACATCCTGCATTACCTTCAGGACCCAGAACTATGGGAATTATGGTATATTCTTTATTATGGGTAATGCAGGATTTGTATCATCAACCGTATGTTATACAGTGGACGTCCTGTATAAGAACCCACTGTTTAAGAACCTGAGCCCCTATCAATTTCAGGGGAAATGCTACCCAAGAACCTTAGGGTATGCTACTCTCGCGAAAAGGGGTTCTTATACAGGGATTTCACGGTAGTGTACGCTTTTACGCTAGTCTACCATAGTAGACGATACAACAGTATGCTAGGATATACTATACTATAACATGCTGTGCTATATTGTACTATACTATACTAGTACTGTATACAATACTATAGTGTACTATGGTAAAATAGATTCATACTAGCTTAAAGCATTAGAGGTCTTGGGGGCTAATGGTTGAAGGGTGAAGTCGCTCTGCAAAGAGCCTGAGCTTCGAGACTGACACCGATTGATGATATAAATCCTGCCTTACCTTAAGGACCCTAAACTATGGGAATTAGTCCTTATTATGGGTAATGCAGGATTTATATCATCAGCCGGACGCAAGCTGCGATTGCTTCGTTTTGGGCTTTGGGATGTTTCGAGTTTCGGGCTGATACCTCAAACCCAAAAACCCATAAAGGGAACTCCAGAAAGTTGGAATATGGTTTCAGGGTAGGATACCCTAAAATTTACCATAAAGGGTTTAGGATAATCATATTCCAACTTTCTGGCTTTTACTGTAAGTGCGTTTAGGCTACCACGAATCCTAAAGGGTTCCAAGACTGACTTCCGAACATACAAGTGCTGGAAACCCACTTAGCAAGTGGGCTCAGAGTCGGGCCTTAGGGTTTGGGAGCCTGCCGAGTAGGTTTAGGGTTGAGGGGTTTAGGGTTTAGGGTTTTAGGGTTTAGGGTTTTAGGGTTTAGGGTGTACATCTTTGGATGCTTCTGTGAGAGGGGTCTCGATTCAGGCACACGTCCATGCGGTGTGGTACGGGACAGCAGTCTCTTTGGAAAACGAAAGTTGTACAGTCCAATAACCAACGAGATCAGCAACAGGGAAATCAGGCATTCAGGAAGGGGTCTTCCAACGGCCTGCCTGTAAGGCGAACATCAAGACGGCCACCACAAAGAGGGCGAGGCCACTGATGTGTACGGAGCTCACAACCTCTGTGTTCCACAGTGCTGTCTGCATTCTCTTGCTAGCACACGCAGGGTGTTACAGGACAGAGTCGTACACAGCACACAAGCTGCGCGTCTGGTCAAGGGCACGGAACGAAATTGTGTTTTACATGGAGTAGTATTCTCATTATGGTACGATGATTGTCTCATTGCAAATGACATAAGAGACTATAGTAGTACTACTCTCGTACAATTACTGAATAAGTATTGTTACTCTTGAAGTACTACTACCGTATCTCAACGAAAGAAATCAATTTGTTGAGGAATTCTGCAAAAGATCCATCGCAGAACTCCCCTGAAGCACCTAAACCCTGCACCCGAAGCTTTCAGGATTTTTCAGTTTAGGGTGTGTGGCTTGTATTATAACGGTCCTAGAACCATAAATCCTTATTAGACTCGCAATTCTTGATGCCTGGGCAAGGAAGTTGCCAATGAGAGGTACAGGCCGAAAGGAATCGGCAAGAACCTCAGCGCCAAAGCAATCTTGATACAGTACAGACTGCACATGACTGCACTCTACACCGGAATCGTTGCACTTTAAATTAGCAGTTAAGGACGGGGAAGGGGGGCCTTATGCTGGTTGTTACCACCTTTTGCGGTTTGTACCATGATATTGCCACTGTGTGAGAACATTACACGACATGAGAAATTCCAGCAGGCATGCAACGTTTGACTTCTTTTGCCGCGCTACCGCGCTGCGTGCATTGGACATTTTTGGAATGCAAAGAAAGAAACATCAGACTAAAGCAGCCTAGCCACAGGAGTCACCAACTCATCACAGCTTTGGACGATGGCTGGGAAGGCCACATCAGTTGCGACATCCGCAGCGTCCAACACCGAGAACCTTATCCCCAGCCCCCATCCACAAACGTAAAACCTTAAAACAGCCCACTATAATACCGTCAGAAAACTTACAATTATAGTACTATTACAATTGCAATAATAAGAAACAGCCTTAGGATTCAGAAGCCCCGAGGGCCTACTGTCAGAATCGCAGCTGGAGCCAAATATTTAAACATGACCTAGAATAGGATACCCAGTAACCTAAGAACAAAAAGGCCTCTCTTTTTGGTATTGGGTAACTTTATAAGGAACCTAGGACTACAAAAAGGGAATAAGGGTACTACTGGGCATCCTAGAATTTAAACATGACCTAGAATGTTTGGAACATGTCTTCACCTTCACTGACATGTCTGGCAAGGAGCTGAAAGCCTTGATTCAGGGCTTCTAGGGAAGGAGTTTATTAAGTGAGGTCCATAATTATTTATAGAGTGAGCTTATGCTACGACTCTTCAGTCAAGCGACAGCTTTAGCATCACGATGCTTCCAAGCAGACCCTTGCCGCAGCAGAGCGAACGCGCATCGATCAAGTCCTTCGACAAGAACTCCCTACGGGTGTCCAAACACCAAGCAAGAAACACCAGAATACATGACACAGCCTACCTAGAGGCTCCAGAGTAGTTCCTTTTTGGGGATCATATTTAGACTCCTATAAGGTAATGCCAAAAAGGAACTACTATGGAGCCTGTGGGTAAACCCAAGCTCTGACGGTAGTTCCCTGTGCATGCTTGAAACAGCGGAATACAGTGGCCATTCCAGCACCCTTGGACATTGCCGGCTCAGGACGCAGAGAACATCACGCCTCATGACACGATTAGCTCAAAGCCTAGGTTTGTGAGTAACCCCTTTATAATAAGGCTACCCTTTTTCCTACTATTCGGTTTTAATAAGGGGACCCTAAACTAAAAAAGGCAAAAGGGCACTACTCAGGAACCTAGAAGCCCTGTTGGAGCGAAACCCGTCTGGGAAACCCTGGAGACAACGCGTTTTCCTGGTATCATGCTGACATATGCTGACTGCGACTGTATCGTAACGTGCCTGTCCCTGCATAGTGTCATGACAGCAGGCACTTCGTATCCTGAATCTGAACACCAAACTGTGAAGGTGAAGCTTTAAAGACAGCATAACGGCCCCGACAAATGATCAATTCTCATGCTCACCCGCTCAGGATTCTAGACAGAGGTACACAGATCCGGAGCGCTCTGGATTCACGCATTCTTTGCCCTGCCCCTCCCGCGAACCCTCCACCATTCCATCGCCATTTAAGACAAAGCACACACCACACAAATCAGAAGATGCAGCAGCAGCAGGCTGCTGCTGCTGCTGCTGCTGCTGCTGCTGCTGCTGCTAACTGCTAACTCCACCAACGACAACAACAGCCAAAACCACAACGACCACAACCAGCACCACCGCCACCACGAACACGACTGCGACCGCAACAACCACGACTACGACCACCGCCACCACCACCTCAAGCACCACAACAAGAACAAGAACAACAAAAACGAAACAGACACGTTTCTTGTTTGTGTCTGAGGCACCGAATACAGCTTCTACAACCCTCGCTCACATCAATCGCGGCCCTTCCTTGATGTGCTCCGTCCGTCCCTGGAAGCCGTGCGAGGGCACGTAAGATGCGCCGCGCAATTCCTGAAGCCATTGAATGCTCGTCCCACGCAGCCCAAAGAAGCACCGGCACCACCAGCACCTTCGGATCCACACCGCACGTGAGGAACTGTTACTTTGGCTAGTGACAAGGCCACTTGCTGCTCTTCTGCTGCTGCCACCGCTGCCACACCAACAAAGAATACGAAGATCTAGCACCTGCCTCCCTTGACCCAAATCCCTAACACACTGGACTCTTTTCCATTCAGGTTCGGCCGGGGTTGCAGTTTGAGAGCTCAAGATCTCAATCCTAAACCCTTTCCTAAACCCTAAAGTACTAAAGTACTCTATCTATAGTCTGTAGTGCTGGCACCAAGAGGAGCCACGCCATGTCTCCACGACATCCAGCAAAAGGGCTATAGGCCAGCCCAGCCAAGACAGCGCCTGGTTTCCAGGACCGGGTTCCGAAATGTACGTACTATAAAAAGGGGTTAGGGTTTTGGGGTGTATAGGGTTTAGGGCTTAATCCCACAATCACAAAGCCCCAGGAGGAGAACTGGAAGCGAAGAGGAACCTCGACAACAGCGCGCGCAAGACCCTTAACCAAAAAAACCCAAACCCCAAAACCCCGAAGGCTATCTCCAACACACCAGCTCACAGGGTGACCCAGGTCTGTCGTGCTTGTGTCTGCTATGGCTCATGGTTTCACAGGGTTTTAGAGTTTAGAGGTTTAGGGGTTTCTGGTTTAAATTTGGGGCTTGGGGTCGAATTTCTCACATGTCTTGGTGGCTTTAAAACTATCATTGGAGGGTCAAGGTATATGTTGCATACTTCTATAAGAATCCTTGATGCTTCCTGTGCTTCCTTCCTTGTCACGAGTTTAAACGGCAAGGAAAGAGCATGGGTATTCGTCTCTGGTTTGCAAACCGCGACGGTAAAGGTGGGTTTAGGAGTTCGTGCGTATAATATGTTCATATCTTTTGGCAGAATGTGCCAAGCAAGATGCTCCCAAAGAGTGCGTGTTGGGGAAAGGTACTTGGGCTTCAAGCCCTAATGATCCCTACAACCCTGAAGCCAGGACTGGCTCGGGAATATCACCGGTGACCCGCCTGTCCAAACAACGGTGGCATGCCAACGAATGCGCTGCGCCGACACAAGTTCCTGTGCCCAAAGTACTATGCTTTAGCATTCCAAAGGGTGCTAGAAAGGAAAGCTAACTTAATCCTACACCTTGAGTTCTAATTCGTTAGCTTAAATTAGCAAACACCCGTAGAGTCATGGTTTAGGAAGTCATAGGGTTTAGGGCAATCCCGCAACAGTCCGTAGCACGAGTGTTGTCACAGCTGGCTCAGCTCAAAGAAGGATGTTTCTGAGATATTGAGTGGAGAGTTCTTATCCATACGTGCGCGTCTGCGTTCGACCCCCGTCTCCTGTGCCCGTGGGGGCACGTCAGCGTCATCCCAGCGCTCTCTCTTCCCATCTTGCCACCAACCTTGCCAAGGCGTCGACACGTAGATCGGTGTAAGCTAGCAAGCAGGTGTACCGTCAACTTGTTCAACAGACGTGTGCACCATGCCGTGTACTGCAGTGTATATGTAGTACAAGTACACACAAAAAGAGCATCCACGGTCATCCACACTTCATGTACAAGGCTCGCCATAATGGTCTTGGGCTAGAAACCCTTCTTTGGTACTTGGACCCTCTGAGAAAGTACCCGGGATTACGGGATTACGCTACCCCAGTGCAGTTCAAGCTCGCACTGGCCTTGGGCCCACTGGCCATTCACATAGCGATACCTCCCGAAGCCATGTTGCTTGCCATTCAGCCACTCCCCGTGATAAGCTCTTCCGTCAGCCCAGCTGAAGACGCCCTCCCCAGATTTCTGGTTATCTTCGTATTGCCCTGCGTACTGTCGTCCATCCTCCCAGAAATTCGTCCCGTTTCCATCCATGCGGTCTTTCTTGAAATTGCCGACGTAGACTCGACCATCTGTCCACACATAGGTGCCGACTCCGTTGAGCTGGTTCTCTGAGAATTGACCTGAATGCAGGGAGCCGTCTGCCCACACAAACATGCCCCGGCCGTGCTTTCTGCCGTGTTCGTACTGGCCCTTAAAGATCGCCCCATCCGGCCACCTCTCCACCCCTTCACCATGTTGCTTGTCCTCGAGCCACTGTCCCTCGTATCTGCTCCCATCTGCATGTTCGTAGGTGCCCTGGCCGGTTGCTTTGTCGGCTGCCCATTGTCCGGTGAACTTGTCGCCATCTGCGTGGAGGAAGCTGCCCTCTCCGTCTGCCCTATCCCTTTTCCATTGCCCGCGGTATTCTGCCCCATCCGGCCAACGCTGAACTCCATACCCGTGCCTTTCGTTGCCGAGCCACTGGCCAGTGTAGCTCGCACCGTTCTCGAAGACGTACTCGGCTCTCTCTTCGCAGGAAGCGAAAGGATCGCTCCAATTCACCTGCAGATGTTGAAAGGCCAGCAGTGTATACCTAGCCGAAGTCATGGCGAGGCCGGAACTTCGAATCGAAAGGCGCAGTCTTTGTCATAAGGCGATCAAACTCCCAAAAGCTTAGTCATTGCTTAGGCTGTCGAATACAATCCTCAGCCCTGAAACTGCATAAGAATGGAGCCTAAGCTTAGGACGTTGTTTATATCGGGGACCCGGCTACTTGAAGGGGCGTAACTCATCCACACCCTAGGACTACAAATTCACTCGAACCGACAAGGCGTGGCGCGAGCGAGGGTCATGCCTGAACAACTTTTAGGCCATAGCGTATATGGTAAATAGAAAGTAAATACATAAGAATGTAAATGTGTGTATATTATATATATATGGCGCATGGATAACTGTGGCCTATCCACCCCAATATGCGGGCCAGGGCTCATACCCCAGGGCCCAAAACCGAGTTCCAAGCAGTTGGCTATCATTCGGGGGCGATAGGGCTTTGTGCCGACACACGGCTGCAACTTAATACACAACACATATCCAGCATGACATGTTGTAGGGTAAATCAAACAGCTGGCATGTCATGGGCGACGGAACCCTTATTTGACGCGCCAGCCTGCAGATATATAAGATGAGCATCCCCAGCACTCTTGTGTGGGTCACCGCTTGAGGATGGAAGTTCAGATATGCGAGGCCAGGCTTGATTCGATGGAATATCGGGATTGGGCGGATGTAGGATTGGCCGATGTGACTCCGCAGAAGAAGCAGACAGATTGTAGGAAACAGACTCTTGCGATTGCAGGTCTTGGGGTCAGGCGATGCAGGAACGCTATGTAGGTGGGCAGACTGCAGTGAAGACTCTGCCCAAACGGCACGGCAAAATTGCCCCTACATGATAGTGCTCTCCGATTCGCACCGTACCTGGATCACCGCCAGTCGTCATCCAGACAGCCTCGCTCAGACTCATGCTGGACTCGGGTAAAAGGATCTAGGCTAGAAAGAGTCAGCGATAAAGGCGACTTACCGCGGTCTTGCGAAACATGTAAGCGGAAATGCGCTGTAGCACATGTCTATAACAACCAACCAACCTTGGACCCCTCAGAACCTAAAACCCAACTCCCCGAACAAACCCTGAACCCTAAAGCCACCCGAATGCGGGTTTAAGGGCTTAAGGTTCCAGAGGACCCTAAACCTTGAAACCCTAAAACCTCAGACCCCTACAACCCTAAAGCCCTAAACGCCCTAAAAGCCTAAAACCCTAAAGCCCCAAACCTTAAAGCAGAGCTCTCTCTGTTGGCAAGATTCTGACTCAACAAATCGGATTTGGGATTGTGGGATTGGATTGGATGAGAGCCGAACCCATTCCCGAGAGGAGAATAGTTATACAGCTTAATAAAGTAACTCAGGGTCTGTTACATAGGGCTTTTACCAGGGCCCGAGAAGACCCAGTCTATCCCTTAGTTGGGAATATACGCCGAACCCTATGCACTAATTCATGCCTTGGGAAAGCCAACTAGAAGATTGAACTAGAAGGTAGACTGGTGTGGTGGGGAAGAGAATCATGCTGGCTATCCTCTGAAGCTCCGACCACATGAACAGTATCTACTTTGGCCCAAGTGCACATTTTATCAGCTGGGGGGCATTTTTGCAGAATTTTACACAGGAGCTACGTGGCTAGACGCCTGGGGTCTTTTATTTTTTTACTACCCTAGCTTGCAGCAAAAGCAACAAGTCGTTGGCGCTAACCTACTTCCTGCTATTTTACTACGGTCCCGGCGTCACTGTTGCAATGAATGTTCATAAACACTGATTTTACACTTCTGTGCTTCCTATAGAAGGCTTTCACACTGAGTTACTTCACACAGAGAGAGCTTCACACTGAGCTTCACACTGAGCTTCTTCACATAGAGACTTCACATCGAGCTGCTTCACAACGATTTGTTTATCATAGCTGAAACCAACCAACACACTTGCGACGTTCAGTAGATGTATGATCAATGGAAAGGTGGCTGGTATCTTCTGGCATGATCAATAATCGTCTCTCGTATTGCTCGGTCGTGCATATTGAAAGGCACCTTCGGAACCGAGACATCTTTTCATGTGATTATGTTCCAAGCTTTTTCCATATTCGTGGTAGTCCAAAACTGTCTTGGACGGCCTACTCTCCGTTGTTCTGTTTCTTGTGACTGTTCAAGACTTATGTTACAGTGCCTGCTCAGGTCTGATTAGAGCCAGTGGATCTTTACAACCTCCTTGCAGTTTCCACCAAACCCGAAACTGCAAACCCCGTCTTCGGGGCTAGGGATTAAAGCTTCGTTTGGGATTTTACTGCCTGAGAAGGCCTAAAAGCTATACAGGGTGTTCTCGGGCTGAAGATCAGTTGGGAAATGCTAAACCCGAAATCCTAAACCCAAGCCCTAAAACCTCTCAACCGGACACAGAACCCTAAACCCCAAACTTGGCCCTAAAACCCAAGCCCCAAACCCTAAATCCCGAATCCTTTAACGTTGACGACGTCGCCAAGAAGCTTCCTGGATCCAGGCTCTGCCATGTGCGCCGGCGGAAAGCCGAAGAAATCCCTAATTCCGTAATTCCTACTATGGCTGGATGCTTTGGGTACCTCGGGATCCCAAAACCTCCTGCTGTAAGGGATATGCTCTATATAGTTACGGGGTGTAGGGTTTAGGGTTATGTTCTATATAGTTAAGGGGTCATACGCCTGATATAAATCCTGCAATGCCTTAATTAATGACCCCAGACTATGAGAACTACAACGTATTCCTTATTATCGGCGACATTACGGGAAATGCAGGATTTGTATCATCAACCGTAACCTGTATTTTGGAGGGTTTGGGGCTGCAGGTAGGTCTAACTAGGCTTGATTTAAGCTTGACTTGAACGAGTGTTCCGCTGAATCTGCAGCTTTTAACTTTCATGCCGCTGCCGGATCTTAGGCGCGAAGGCGTCGTCATGCTGCTGCTTTCCACCGAAAACATCGGAGACGATGCACAAGGCGAAATCCAAAGCTCTCAAAGCCCTAAAAAATATAGGGGCCTTGATAATTGGAGTAGGGTTTTGGGGTACATATACTATGATTACTGTAAGGAAGCCCCAAAATAGTATTAGTAATTTTTTGGCCGCTATTCTATGCCGACATATGTCAAAGCCCTAACTTTAGGGTTTCAAGGTGCAGAATTGTTGGTTGAGGGCTTAGGGTCAAGGTCTTATTCATATAAGCCCTTGACCCGTGAAGCCTACGGTAGAAGCCCAAAAGCTGGAAACCCAATAGCCTCGATCCCTAAGAGTAATGTATAGGGAATCCCAGCACTCTTTGGCCTTAATCCAGTTTCCAACTTCATGGGGTTTACTGTAAAGCTTTCCTAGACCCTCCCCATTATACCCTAAATACCGACTGTTACGGAGCACAAGGGCCTTATTAAACGGATGTCCTGATAAACCCCTAAACCCTTGAAGCCTAAACCCGTATTAGGCTTCTGTATATAGTGAACCCCAGAAAGTTGGAACATGGGTTTAGGAGGATTCATGCTGGGATTCCCTATACCTTACTTTAGGGGCATGAAGATAATGATGTTCCAACTTTCTGCCTTCGACTATATATTACCCCTAGCCGCCTTATTATAGTCCAAACAGAACCACGAAAAAATAAAGTCATAAGAGTTAACCAAAGATATTATATTGCCCCCGAGCTGCATGATAATAAATTGTCCTGATAAACCCGAAACCCCTGAGGCCTAAACCCCTTTTAGGCTTCTATAAAAATAGGAGGTTATAACCCCTTAATGATATAGGATAGAACCCCTAAAACGGTAGGTTTTGGATCCCCACCCATGAGCTGCATTTTGACGGGTCCTGCCTGGCTCACGCTCCTCTTTGGGATTCGGGCCCGGGGTCAGCAACTTTTCGGCTTCGCCAGGTTTCGGATGGGGGGGGGCGCTAGCAGTACGAAGGGTACCTTTTAAACAGGGTCGATAAGGGTGACCTATAAGGGCTTCGTCTAGGGGCCTTAATAATTAGAATAGGGTTTTGGGGGCCCATTATACTATCTTTGTTTTGGTTACCTTCGTTTCTTACTCTAGGATCCTAACCATCAAGCGGTTATCCAAAAGAAGGGTCCAGGTAGGACTTCAGGATCTAGAGAACTCTCCCGCCGGCAGCAAAGTGTAGCCCTATGCTTATGGCCGCCCAGCAGAACACTAGCGGCAGCCCGTGACCATTTCATGTTACAGCTGCTCTGAGGTTACCACAAGGTCTGCACACTGAGCTTTCCCAAAAAAGTCCAGAACTTCCGCTTCCTAAGTCCCCTGCGCGGCCCGACCACCTTGACTACTAGCATGGACCTGTCATCAGTGCCTATGAAACTGACTCCTCCCCGCAACTTCCGAAATCCCTTACCTAAGGAATATGGCTTAAATCATATTAGGGCCCCTATTATAATTTGAGGTATATTCCTGAATTAAGGGATTTTGGAAGGTCTGGGTCCATCCGAAATATCCTGAAGTTGGGAATGCTGTCAGTGTAGAACCTGGATCTGCTACGACACGAGCCTGTCTGGTACTCAGTAGGGAATGGGGGAATGGATCCCTATAGTAGTCCCTATCAGGGCCCCAAAAAGCACATAAGCAAAAATAAGGATAGGGATATCCCATAGAAATCCTCTTAAAAGGAAGCCCAAATGCTTATGCTTATGTGCTTTTTTGGGTCCCTAACCTAGATAATCCCCAATAGTACGTAGTCTGCATAAATTCCTCCATTCCCGACTAAGAACCAGACACGAGACTTCAGGGTGGCAGGAGTTGCCTGCCCGTGTGAAACAGCGGCCCAACCGTTCTCAGGACTTTAAAACGATCCTGGGCAATGTCTTTGCTTCTTGGGTTGACTTCTGAACCCCTCCCGAAAGTGAAACTTGAAGCCGATTTGTAAAATTTATATAGAAATCAAAAAAGTTAAAGTCCTAAGAATCAAGCCGTCCTGCTTCGTGGCTTGAGAGTTTGGGGTTTAGGGTGGTGTGGTTCGAGTTTAGGGTATTGTGGTTAGGG